TGGCGGCCTGGCTGGGCGGCAGCGAGTTCTCCTCTGGCCCCGTCTGTAGAGCCCGCCTCGCTGCAGCATTTCAACGAGAGTTTGAATATTTCCCCGATTTCGGTTTTGTTAACGATCAGCACAGACCCTCCCTGACTCGAACCCCACCCCCGTGATGCGCTTTTCCAGGGAAACCCCCTGGAGCCCGCTGTTTGCAAACCCGACACTCCGCACTTGGTGTATGAGAGTGAGATTGAGTCGAGAGCCTGGCTAGGCCACAGGGAAACTGCTGCTTTCACTGCTCGAACCAAGGGGGATGTAGAACAAATACACAGCTCAGTGGCTAAAACAAGCATATTTTGGAACTGTGTTTAATGGCCTTAGAACTTAAAGTTGAGACGTTGCCTTACAAAGGTGTAATCTTGAACGCAATTCTGTGTGTGTGTGTGTGTGTGTGTGTGTTGCATTCTCAATGATCAAGTGGGACAGGGAAACGTGGTTTCAAAATAGTAATAAATTGTGTTTAAGCTAGACCCTCATAACCAAGCAAAGGCATTTGATTGCTCAGGACTTTAACCCAGTTATGGGGACACAATTAAATCCTGTCCACACTACTTTTTTAAAAACACTGATTTGACCAGGTCAAGGAAAATCTTGTAGTTGGCTCTCCTAACTTTTGTTGTTCTTTTGATGTGTACATGGAAGTTTTTCACAGTGGAGGCAGGAGTTGGGAGTAGAGAATTTTGCTGATTGTTCTTCACTAGTGGGAGTGGGATCAGGATTTTGTCGTGTTTTTAAAATTTTGTACAGTTGGATAAGGTTGATTTTGCTATCTGTATTAGTATTTTTATGGGAATGGGCGTGGGTGTTTTACTTTCATCCATAAGCATGGAGAAATGATGTTGCTGTATCGTAGGATACACCTGTAGCTACACTGCTGTAGTACTTAAGTGAGTAGACATTAGCTATTCTGACAGGAGGTGTTCTCCCATCTGCTTAGGTAATCCACTTCCCTGAGAGGCAGCAGCTAGGTAGACAAAATAATTTTATATATGAACTTTAGGTCAGCTTAACTGCACTGTTCTGGCATGTGGTTTTTTTCACACTCCTGAACTACATCTTCATGCTGACCCCATTTTCTACCAGGTCTTAGTCTTTCCCCTCTTGCTTGCTTTGGAAGGGAGTTAGTTAATGGATTTAGCATGTTTCATTGGCATATTACACTCTCCTGCACGCGTTCTTTCTCCGTTCATTCCTTTTTTGACTGATTGTGTTTAAAGTCAAAGTTAGGCCAAAGATGTATATAACATCTTGGGAAATGAAACATATTTTTCGTAGGGGGGGTTCTTTTATTGAATTGCTAACATTATAATGCCATTTGTATTCCAAATATATTTTTTTCGTATTTGTCTTCAGGTCTGAAAAATTTGTCTTGATTTTCATCAGTGTTCTCCAAATAAAGTTATATTGCTTATATTAACAGATATAGTGAACATTTTGTAAGAGCTGTCTTTATAGTTTAGTTTTACATACTAAACTATGCAATAATTAAATTCATACTTATTTTAGAGCTATGTGAAACTGACTTAGGGTAGGTCTCCCCTATTGCAGTTGTCAACCTAAGGTATGCAACTCCAGCTACCTGAATAATGTGGCTAGAATCGACATACCTTGGGTTGAGTTACTTTGGGGGGTGATAGGAGAAACTCAGGTTGACTGACTAACTCTTCTTCTCAGGGATATAGTACAGAGGTTGACTGGAGAGTGATCTGCAGTTGTGTTAGTGCGTCAGCTGCTGGTCCATCAATCTCAAAGCATTGATCCTGGCTGTAGTGTAAGATGTCCTTGATCCTGAAGAAGTGGGCTGTGCCCACGAAAGCTCATTATACAATCTACATGTTTTGTTAGTCTATAAAGTTCTACCAGACCATTTGTTGTTTTTTAAGTTTATTCTGTACAGACTAACTTGGCTACCCCCTGAAGCTTCTTGATCCTTCAGTTAGATCTGACTGTGCAGATGGATCTCAATACCTGCAGAGAGGCTCATTGAAGCCATTAGGGTTCCACACAGACATATAGAGGTCTGTCTGCATGGATCTAGTTGTAGGATCAGGGTCTTAAAGAGTATTAAGTCAAATCTTATTTATTCCAGAACAGGGTAGTTTTTAAAATGCAAATAATAAAACTAATGTGGTATATAATTTATAAGTGGTAGAAAGTCTATCCTTGATTCATCTCACTACATCTTAAAAATCCATTTGTTTTGAAAGCTTTCTCAGATGACCAGAATCAGCATTTTCAGAATGTAAGCCTTTCCTTTTCAGAAATTCTTGTTTAAGCATTAACAGTATGCAAACAAATACAGTACTGTCTTCCTGATTTTGCAGGTGGACAGTTCTAGCACCAATGCTGTTGGTATCTCTACCAAATTGCATCAGGTGAGGACTGACCAGAGACTTGCCAGTTTTTATTGTTACTACTTAGAATCAGTGGACAGTTTTGAGTAAATGACAAGAATCAGGTCAATTTCATGCTGTTAGAACTTACAGCAGTAGCAGAGACAGGCAATGGAGTTATTCCTATGGGAAAAGGACCCAACAGGATAAATTGAGTAATGGAGAACTCCCTGGGAAGCACCCAGAAATTTGATGGGATAAGAGATGGAAAACATCACAGGAGCAAGGAGGCCAGGGGATGGGAGCAGGAAGCAGAGAGGTTGAGTGCTCCTCCCAGAAGCCAGTGGGAGTTGGGACTTCAAAATCATCAGACTGTTAACTTTTAACTGATTGAAGATTAATATGTATGACAGGATCAGTGGTTCTCAAAATGGGCTGTGTGCCCACCTGGATAAGACACTGATGAGCCCACACTGCTTTTTTTTTTTCTTCAACCGAGAGTGTCCATAGCCATGGAGCCTTGCAGCTTCCATTGGCTGTGGTTTGCCATTTTCAGCCCAGGGGAACTGTGGGAAACAATGTGGCCCATTCAATGGCTGTGGACCCTTTAAGTAAACAAAGTGGTGGAGACTCGTTAGTGGCTAACTTGGGTGGACCTACTTTGAGAACCACTAGGCAAGATGTAGACTTGGAGTACAGTCCAAAAGTAGTACTTGTACTTGGTATTGCATGAGGAGAGAGCAGATCCCAACATATTTGACTAACAGGTTTAGTTCTTGCTGTTAGGTGTCTGTTAAATGTATGACTCCTGTGTGTGTGTGAATGACGTCAGGCATAGCAGGGTATGTTAGAGAGCGTAAGTTAAAAAGGATAAATAAGTGACTGTAGTATGAAAAAAATAGGGGAGAAAATATA